TGAGCCACCGCGCCAGGCCCTTCCGTTCCTTTTGAATCCATGTATTCTCAGTAAAATCAGAACAAACAAACATTGGGGACTACTACATAAAAGGACTGTAGGTGAATAATAGCTAATATTTAAACATACTGAGCACTCACCATGTGCCAGGCTTTGTTCTAAACCAGGAGTTCACAAACTTTTTCTGTAAAGGGCTGGATGGAGAGTAAATATTTTAGGTTTTTGTGGGCCATACTGCAGTAACTACCCAACACTGCCATTATGGTGTGAAAACAGCCACAGACAACGCATAAGCAAATGAGCATGACTATGCTCCAAAAAATATATTTTTTATGGACACTGAAATTTGAATTTCATATACCTTTTGCATGTCATGAAATATTCTTTCGATTTTTTTTTTTTTTACCATTTAAAAATATAAAAATCATTCTTAGCTCAAGAATCATTGACAGCAGGCAGTGAGCCAGATTTGGCTATTTACAGTGTGATGAGCAAGAAAAGGCTGCTGTGAGAACGTGGAGGAAGAACAGCTCTACCAGCTTTCGCAGGTTGGGGAAGGCTGCTTGGCAGGAGCACAATGCCTGGCACAGGGTAAGTTCTAAATAAATGTTGTGGAGTGGATGGAGGAATAAATGAACAAATAAAAAAATATTTTCTGAGTGCCTATCTGTGGGGGAATAACAAAGTTTGAAAATCGAGTTGGACTCTTGGTGGAGTCAGACTGCAGAGGACTCTGAATTCCAGCACAAGAATGTGGTGTTGGACTTCATTTGGTAAGCCACTGTTTAAGATCTGAATCTACTTTTCATATTTAGGAGGTTTAAAAACTGCATGAAGGGGAAGTCCAAGAGTGATGACTGAGGACAGACAGAGGGAGGATGGGGGGAGGGGGCTGATTATAAATAACACTGAGTAAGAAGAGCGAGGACCTGTCAGGCCAGTCACTGAGAACCTCAGGATGAGAGTTGGCCACCTAAGATCCTCCCAGATCGTAACAGAAGCAGCCTTTCATCTTTTAACCACCCTGGCAAGATTTCAGGATTGTCTATTTAGACTTTTTAATTGTAAAATACATAATACACACAAAAGCTGCATATCTATAGCTTAAAGAATAACAAAACAGAAAATTTCTATTTTCAGTTAATCCACTGATTGAGAATTTGAGCAGGAGAGTGATGTTATCAAACCAGATTTAAAAAATCAACTTTGGCTTTATCTGCAGGACATATGAGAGGAGGCAATGTCTCCAAGGAATGAGACTAGAGTGGTTTTTGGTATTTGAGCATTGTGATGGCCTTTTGATGTGTTAACTTGGCTAGACCAAACTGTATAATAGTTCCTAGTTATACATCCAGGTGTTGCTATGAAGGCATTTTTGCAGATGTGATTAAATTCCCTAATCAGTTAACTTTAAATTAAATCAAAAGTGAGTTCATTCTGGGTGGGCCTGACCTAATCAGGTGAACTTTTTGAAAGCAGGGTTAGGCCTTCCCTGAGCTCAGCAACTCCAAATAGCTCAAGCCTGTGGGGTTCCTGTTCCTGATCATCTGTTCCCGACTACCTGCCCTATGGACTTCAGACTTATTTTGCCAGCCCAATTGTGTAAGCCAATTCCTTGTAAGAAATACGTGCGCACGTGTGTGCATGTCTGTGTGTGTGTGTGTGTGTGTGTGTGTGTGTGTGTGTGTGTGTGTATAATCTCCTACTTGTTTTGCTTCTCTGGTTGAACTGATACAAGCATTAAAAAGAATCTGAATATATTATATATGTTCTTATATATACAATATTACTAAATCGAATTCACTATATTTAAATACCTATGTTCTGATTTGTTCTGCAACGTCCCGTCAATATGCCAGGTTTTAGAAAGCTGAGTTTAGAATTTCCTTCAATCCATTTCTTTAAAGCCTGAAAATGAAAAACAATTATCAATTGGACACTACTCGTAAACCATTTGTATTCATTCAATGTTGAAATACATGCAAAAAGAAAAAAACCCAAAGTCAGTACACGTACAGGTTTCAGACTGACAAACCTGAGAAAAAAAGCTGCTTGGAATTGAACTCCATGCAATAATTAACTATAATGGTATAGATCTTTGTCACTTGATACAGTCTAATCTCTAAGGTATTTTTAAGTGAAAAAAGCAAAGTTCAGAATAGTTGGTATACAAAATTAATAAGTGAGTTCAGCAAGACTGCAGGACATAAGATCAATATACATAAATCAATTGTATTTCTACTTACAAGCAATGAATAATTGAAATTTAAAAAGTTTTCTAAATGCTATTTACAATAGCATAAAAAAATTTATACCTAGGTATAAGTCTAACAAAATATGTGCAGAATCTGTATGCTGAAAACACTGTATGACAAAACACTGGTAAAAGAAACCAAAGAAGATGTGGTTGGTAGCCTCTAAGCCCTCCATGATCTCTGCCTCCTGTATTCAGAGCCTGTGTAATTCCCTCCCCTGATGTGAACCGGACTTATTAACTTGCTTCTAATAAAAAAAATACAACAGATGTGATGGGACATCACTTTCAAGAAGAAGTTGTAAAATGACTGTGGCTTCCGCATTAGACATTCTCTCCCAATCTCTGGGATCACTCACTCTCAGGGAACCCAGTTGCCAGGCTGTGAGGCAGCCCTTTGGAGAGGCCCACGTGAGCGAACTCAGATGCGCTTCCACCAACAGCCACGTCAGGCAAGCGTGGAAGCCTTGCGATTGCGATGACTGCAGCTGTGGCCAACACCTTCACTGCAGCCTCATGAGAGACCTTCAGCCAGAAACACCCAGTTGTTTCCAGATTCCTGGCCCACAGATATAAGATAATAAATGTTTGTTGTTTCCAGACACTAAGTTTTGGGGTAATTTGTTCCTTAGCAATAGATAACTAATGCAGAAGCCCTGTATGAATGAAGAGAGATACTATGGTCATGGATTGGAAGACTCGATATTGTTAAGATGTCATTTCTCCCCAATTTTATCTATACATTCAATAAAACCCCAGCATACTTTTTCATAGATGTGGACAAGCTGACTCTAAAATGTATCCGGAAAGGCAAAGGAACACAGCTAAAACAACTTAAAAAAAAGTTGGAGGACTCATACTGCCCCATTTCAAGGCTTACTATAAAGCTACGGTAATCAACACAGTGTGGGATGGGTGAAAAGATATATGTATAAATCAATGGAACAGAATAAAGAATCCAGAAATAGATCCATGCGAATATAGTCAACTGATTTTTTTAAAAGTTACAAAGGCAATTCAATGGAGAAAGGATAGTCTTGTCAACATACAACATACAGAACAATTGGATGTCCATATACAAAAAGGAAAAAAAAAGAAAGCATCTCGACCCATACCTCACACCTTATACAAAAATTAACTCAAAATTGTTTGTAGACCAAAAACGTAAAATATAAAACGATAAAACTTCTAGGTGATAACAGAGAAAATTTCTGTGACCCTGGGTAAGCAAAGGGTTTTTAGAAATAATACCACAGGCAAAAATCCATAAAAGAAAAAATGATAAAATGAACTTTGTCAAAATTTAAAACTTACAATCTGCAAAAGATACTTGTAAGAGAATGAAAAGACAAGCCACAAACCAGAAGAAAATATCTGCAAAACACATTTCTGACAGAGGACTTTTTTGTCAGAATATAAAAAGAACTCTCTCAAACTCAACAATAATATGATAAACCAATTTTAAAATAGGCAAAAGATCTGAACAGACACCTCACCAGAGCAGATATCGAGTGTAGGAAATATGCTCAGCCATGGCAATCATTAGTGAAATGCAAACTAAAATCCTAGTGAGAGAGACACTATTACATACCCACAGAATGGCTAAAATTTAAAAATTTGAATAAAAGTACATAAAAGGACAAAGTACATGCTCTATAGGTATCAAGACTTAGAATCTAGGGTGATTAAGACAGTGAAGTATTAGTGTGAGAATAAACATAGATAATCAGAACAGAATGGAGAACCTACACATACATGGGTTCTCAATTGCAATGCAGTAAGGCAATCTTTTCAATGAATGGTCCTGGGACAATTGTTATCCACAAGGAGAAAGAAAGCTTACATCCACAAGCGCTCTGGTTTTCACGAAGAGAATGGTTCTTGTCTCTGGGTTTAAGTGATACTCTTCTTGTAAGATGAAGCAGAGGTCTTCAAGTTTAGGGTTCTCCTTGCTGGGATCCATGGAAACACTTTCTAGTTCCTGCAGCTTTCCTGCAAATGGGGAACATTTTACAAATGGCTTATAAATTCTAAAATTTAGAACATGCTGTGGCTTATAGCTATAGTTCAAACAGTTAATCTCTCAATCTTTGACCAGGATTTTATGAGTAATAACTACCAATTTAATTTGGTATCACCTTTTACAAAGGTAATTGGACAATATCTATCAAAACATAAAACACACAGACTTTGATCCAATGACTCTACATCTAGGAATTTTAGGTATAGTTATATTTAGAAAATTATGGGTGAGATCTCCAAGGATGTTCACTGTACTATTGTTCAAAATATAAAAGAAAAATAGAAAACAACCTAGTTGCCCAATAGGGAAACAATTCAATAGATCATGGGCTATGCATTTGATGTTAATACAATGTAGCTGTTAAAATCAATAAGGGAGCTATATATATGCTAATATGGAAAGACCTCAAAGATATTTTAAGTTAAAAAAAATCAAGGTACAGGACAGTGTGACCCCATCTTTAAAAATATATACAGTTATAAAACAGTGGTGTGCTAGAACCAGATCATACCAGGCTATGAAAGTCAGTTGTTAAATTCGAGAATTGTGTGAGGTTTTAAATACAGTCATTATTAAAAATTCAATTATATAAACTTGCAATTCAAGAACATATTGAAAACATATATAAATAGCCAAAACTAGTTATCTAATTATTACTTTTTACTATTATCTATGCTCTTGAGGTTGTTTATATCTATTGTTATCTGTATGGTAGAAATACTTTAGAATGATGTGTTAAACTCTTTTGAACATTAGTTAAGTGACATCATATTGGTGGCTTGAATTGACTGTAGTGGAAAGACATATCATGAAAATCAAGAGAACACTAAAACTCAGTGCTTAATTTATTGTTCTGTTCACAATCTAGACTTATGAAAGTGATAGAAAAAAATAATGCGGATTAACTTTAGCTATTACATTGTGAATAGCACAAAAAAATGAGAAAATATTCTTTCTCCCAATTTTTGAAAAACTAGCATATAATTCAGCAAAAAAGCTGCTTACATTGTTGACAAACAAGTTGCAACATGTATCTTTGTTGTTTCATTTTCATTTAATTACCACATTAATGAAAATATATACCAACATCCACATCAGAACTACACTTTGTTGTCAGGTGCAACCCTTGGTTGGCTATGGATACAAGAGTTCTGCAAAACCACCAAAAGCATTCTATGAGAATCCACTGGCTATGGAATTTATAATATTTTTATTATTTAATATAAATTGTGTACTATATCCATCCTCTATATCAATAAAATTTATAATAAATGTATGTCCATATATATGCATACATGTTTTCCCCTGAAAGCTGTTAAATGTTTACCAGAACACCACTGGTTATACATATGTATAGTAAATATTTATATAGGCCAAAAACATATATATTAGTAGTGATTATGTTTGGGAAAAGGAGTTTAAGAGAGGGAGAAGGAAAATTTACTTTTTTAATACCTTTCTGTATTTTTTGTTAATAATACGGGGCTAGTGGTATTATAAGGCCATTTTGGTTTACTCTTTATATAGAAGTATATATAAGTTATAGTCTTTTTAATATCATTAAAACACTTTATTTTTTAAATCTTTATAAAATTACTAAGAGTTAAAAAGAATGCAACTATCAATGAACTGTAAGTCCTTTGCAAATCCTACTACTTTTCCTTCTTCTTCTGTATAAGCAACAGTATCTTTTCATAGGTACTAGATTTCACTAAAGCTAAATAGCTACCATCTATAATATCTTCTAAAACCCAGAACAACTCCCTGAGCATCACCAAACCTATGTACGCTAAATACAACATGTTTGTATTGCCATTCCAGTCACCAGACTCTAATTGCTTTCTCCTCTTAAAACACTACACACCTTCAAATCTCCAAGTAAGATCTTGCTCAATCTCATCGAATCCTGCTGCTCGGACATTGCTGAAGAAGTCTTTCAAGTAATCCAGGGCATCTTTCATTCGTGCATGTTCATTGATAATGAGGGCATCGTTATATTTCTGTTTAAAATAAAAACTGAGTTTCAATATATTGCCAATCTCTGATGCATTTGCTATCCTTAAATACAGTCAATTAGCTGTACTTAAGGAATTCATTTTAAGAAAACTCTCCTGAAAACTATTTCAATTTAGTTTTTCTAAGATGAATGGCCCCTAAGGATTCTGTGTTAAAATTTTTGAACTAAATACTGTTTTTTAAAAAAAATCTCAGTTAGATAGAAAAATTAATTAGAATCACTTTGGATTTTAGAATTCTACCTTGGAAAAGAAAAACTACATGAAAAACACATCAAATATTTAAAAACAATAACGAAAGCAAATCAACTTCCACATCAACCTGCCTCATAATTCAGACATTCAACTTAATTTTTTTATACTTCTGAAACCATCACTAAGTCGTAGATGCACCTTTCAAAATGATGGTCCTGACCACCTACACCAAATAATTAAGCTAATAAAAATTATACAAATGCACACTAATTAAATGCATTTTAAAGTATTTTCAATGCCATGATAAGCAGAGATGATGGCTGTTACTATTGTTCCTTAACTTCTTGGTTAACCAGGGATCCTAGATTTCTGAGCATGCAGCTTTATCAAAGGAAAGGACACATATGCTTCAGGTATTGGCAACAGGGCCCACTGGTTGAACTTTAAAGATGGCCACCACTGGTCACGTAGCAATAACGCTCTCTCATCATCACCCAATTTTTTCCAGTCGTGTCAATTACAGGAATGCTGGAGGTATGGCAGAGAATCTGAGCCTTTGCTGCAGTCCTGTTACCTCCAGTGTTAAGTTTCAGAAAGCAAACTGAGATGATGCTGAATGGGACAACTTTTGGAGTTTGCTTCGTAAGAACTTTCTGGAAAGGTTCCTAACCAAGCTCTTGGGGACAGGATGAGAAGTTGATGTTCTCTCAGCTGTCACTCCCAGTAAGTGCTATGACTCCAATACACCTTTCAAAAGAAGGAACGTACCCGCAAATGTGAAGTATACAAAAACAGCGCTTTACAGATCCTCCTTTCTTCATCTTTGTCTGGCATCTGAAACACCATGCATGCTTTCTGAACTGTAACAATCCATTGTTCATACTTCTGTGTTCCAAATTCCCTATTCTGAATCTGAAATAATTTTCCTGGAAAACAAAAAAGTTTTTGACTATGCCATATGGTCAGTCATTTAAGGTTCTAAATATGCTTCACCCTCTAATTTTCTTTTTTACTCTCTATAAATAGGGTATTCCTCCCAAAATTGTCTGTTTTAAGCAGTGTATCCGTGTGTGTGTGTATATATATATACATATATATATATATAATCGTTTCCTGAGTACTTACTATGTTCCAAGAATCAAAGTGCTTTATATTCATAATTTCATATAATTTTCACAACCTCATGAGGTAGACATGACATTTTATAGATGAGGAAACTGAAGTTCAGAAAAGGTAAGTAATTTACCCAAAGTCACACAGCAAGTACATGGAGAGTGGGCAGGAATTCAAACCCAGATGTGTCGGATGCCCAAGCTCTACTGGCTGTATGAATTGACAACAAAAACAGCCCAGAGGCAAAATGATGGATGTGAAAAACATAACTTTGCCTTTAAAAAGGAAGCAGCAGTGAGTAAAAATAATAGGTCTCAAGAGCTTCATCAGAGGAGAATATATAAAAGCAGGAGACTCAGGACTCAGCACAGCCTACTCTGCTTCGCTGTGAACCTTGCCATCTGCTCTCCGGAGCAGCATTCACAGGGCCAAGCATAGAACGGGTGCTCCAAAGATACTTGTTACGGATGCATCTGTATGTGCTCATCTCCTAGGCTAAGCCTCAGTCATCTGGTTCAAAACTGGAGCGTCTGCTGCAGTCCAGGCTCTGTGCAGGGTGCTGGGGATAAAAGGATGAGGAGGGTGCCGCCCTGCTCTCAAGCAGCTTAGTCTGTGAGTTCTCTGGGGCTCCCCAGGAAGAGCACAATACAATAAATTCACAGGCAAGAGCTACATTTCTGGGTTAAATTGCTCCCCTCACCCATTCATTTTTAATAAAGGAACAAAGGTGGCCACCCAAACTAGTAGTATTGACATGCTTCTTTCCCAGGCCCAGCTATCATATGACCAGGTGGCCAGCAGTGAAAATGAACCAAGTATTTACAGAACTTGGGTAGGTGTGAAAATAACTCAAGCAATTTGGAAATGAGCGGTTGACACGATATGCACTGGTGGAAAAGGTGGAGGCAGCGTACATAAGGTGGGAGAAGTCAGAAAGTAGAAACCCACGTGACTCCATGGCCATCTCTCCATCCTTCTGCTACCTCCCTAACTTGGACCACGTCACTGTGTTCCTGGATAACATGACAACCTCCTAACTAGTCTCCCTACTTCGTGTCTTGTTCCCTCTAATCCATTCCCCACCCAGCAGCTAGAAGAAGTTTTCCAAAATTGCAGATGAAAACCTATGCTACCCCAAGGCTTAAAAGCCATTAGCAGATTCCTTCAGCCAAAGCCCTGCCCCGGCTCCCAGGCTCCTCCTCTGTGATCTGGCCTCTGCTGTTTCTGATCCTCATCTCTAGCCAGTCCCCTTCCCGCATTTCACAGGACTAATGGAAGTCTCCATGCACTCTGTCGTCTCCTGGCCTCCGCACACCTTCCCTCTGCCTAAAATACACCTTATCACCACCGCTGCCCACGCCCAGCTGCTTTATTATTATTCATCTAATTTTAGCTTTACCATTAGACTGGAAATGCCATGAGGACAGGGGCTGTGTCTCAGGGTTCATGCTGTAGTCCTACCACCTAACACATTTCCTAGCACTGAATGAATGAATAAATGAATGAACATGTTCAAGGAACTGCTAAATCGAAAGATTCAAGTAGGGAAGTAGCAGAAGACAAAATGGGAAAGATAAGTAGAAAGAGATTGTTCATGCAGAGTTCAGACTGTCAGGTTAGAGAGTTTAAAGATTATCCTGTAGGCAAAAAGTTTTAAGCAGGACACTGAAATGGTAAAACTGATATTCAAGAAGACTAAATCAGTTTAATGGGGGTTAATGGGAGAGAAAGTGGAGGTGGGCAAACCAGCCAGAAGGTTGCTAAAATCGGTCCTAAATTAAGCTGTGAAAGAAAAGGAAAGAGAAAAGCAAAGTTAAATGTGAGAGGAGGAACACCATGAGGTGTCTTGCAGACATCACAAACGACATCTCCAAAACTCAAAATTCACCTCGTATCTGCCAAAGCTGTCCCGGGTCCTGGAACCAGCACCACCCACTGGCATACATACAGATGCACAAGCCAGAGGCCTGGGAGGAAGTCACCCCCGACTCCGGTTCGCACTCCCACCCAAATCCATTAGCGACTGGATCTTAACACTCCCTCTTGGAAGCCTCTCGTGTGTGCCTCCTCCCTTCTCCAACCCATCTCTGCTGCCTGTCTGGCCCTCTTCGTTCACTGTAATCATCACATCACTAATTAGTTTAAAATCTTCCATTTTTCCCCATTGCTTTTAGGATAAAATTCAAGCCCAGGTTGGCCTACCAGGCCCTTCACTGTCTGCCCTGGCACCTCTCCCTAGTCTCGGTCCTTTCCACTTCTCACAGGTTAGGACGACCGTGAAATGCTTGCAGCTCCTGCAACTCCCTGTGCTCCCCACCTTCCCTCTACGCCTGCTGTCCTTTCGCCCTCACGTGCCTCTCTCCTTCTTAAGGTGGCTGGCTTCCTCGAGAAGTGTGTGTCTCAGGAATCGGCGTGCCCAGAGGCCATCCCCGCAACCCAGTCCAGCCAAAGTTCCCGTGTGCTCCCACAGCGCCCAGTGTATGACTGCCCTGCCGCATGGAAACTGTTTTCATCGGATTCCCATTATTTGACTGAGTTCCCTGAGGGAAGGAACCGTGTCTTTAATCTAAGGATTTCCATTACCTAGCACAGTGCCTCGCACAATAAATATATGGTAAGTGAATAAAAAGGAGAACAGGGCTTGGTGACTGCATGAGGGCATTTCAAAAGAAAAAAAAAAAAAAATCAAAGATCACCCGTAGGTTTGAATCCGAGCCAGAAGGGGAATGAAGGCTTCATTCATAGAACCAGGGGAGTCAGGATGGAGAGCTGATTTGGAAGCTCAAGAAAGTGAGGAACTGATTCAAACATGGTAGTTTTCAAGTGTGAGTATCCAGATGAATTTATTTTGGACTTAAAAAGGAAAAAGAAAGCAAGAGAGAACAAAGGAGGACTTAGAAGGCTCCTAAGTAACTTATCAAGTCTTGACATTGGCTGAATTAAGGAGAATGCAAAAAGACACCAGTGAACAATATTTAGCTATTCCCAAGTGGAGAGGATACAAATTATGAGATTTATCTCACCGAGGTCTCCATGGATGCTCTTTGCCAGACACTCTGTCTCCCTCATCAGCTGAGATACGATGAATTTAAATTGGTCCAGAGTCCGTGATTCCACTTTCCTGAAAACTAGACCCATGAAAGGAAAGTGAGTATTTTTCAGGAAGGACAGATCATGGTTCAAAATAGCTATCTCCAAACCTTTCTCTGCCTTTGTTACTTCCTCTGAAAAACCTGAGGTCCCAAGCTCACTGGCAGGTGGTCTAATGATATTTAAAAATGCTCAAAAACCTCACAACAGCTCCGTATTGCTTCCTGCACTGATTCTAACATCTGTCTTCCGTGGTCTAGTTCTAGTTCTAATCCAGCTTCTCACCCTATCTCTGTTACCTCTGCTCTGACGAGGCTGGAATCCTTCTTGCCTCTGCAAGTGCCACACTCTAACCCGTCTCTGTGCTTCGATACTCTCCCTCCCCACCCAACCCCCAGGAGTGTTCACACTGATCCCACCATTTACTATTGTATTCTTTCAGAAGAAGCTTATTAAATGCCCACCACGTGCCATGTTCTGATCATAGACAGTTGAAAAGAACACACTCCACACTCCATAGAGGGCTGCGTTCTTAGAGGAAAGATATGTGGCCAAATAGCCACAGCAGAGTTCTGTACCATAAGTACACACAAGGTGTCATGGAGCACAGGGAAAGGAATACCTAACTCTTCCAGAAGAGTCAGTGTTGTAAATACAGGAAGCAGAAGGAAGCAAGAACAGTCAGGTACGAAGGACAGCACGGACAAAAGCTTAGAGAGAGAAAGCACGTGACATGTTTGAGGAGCCCAGGGGAGTACATCATCGCTGGGTTTATGGGACTTGGGAGGAGACAAAGTTCAGAGGGCCAGAGGAACTGGATTATAAAGGAATTCATGTGTGATACTAAAAAGTTGAGATTGGGTACCTTCTCTAACTCCTTACAGGAAGCCCCGTAAGAGGAACTTCACTGAGCCCCTCCCTGTTTCATGTGTATTTCTTCTGCCTTAGGCTCACACAGTTGTATGCTACTCAGAGAGCAAGGATGAGGTCTTATATATCTTCTGTACCCCTCTCTTCCTTGCACGGTGATTGTGGTAACATTAATAAACTTTCACTAGTCGATCTTATAGAAAAATCACATTCTGCTCTTTTGAGGAGAAATATGATGAATATGGATCAAACTAAAATGATGGAATACATATTCAGAGAGTGATGACTACATAGGCATGGCACACAAGGAAGGGCTAAGCCCAGCCATTGGCTATCTACACGCTTAGATTTTCTCATCACCTCTTTTTCATTGCTAGTACCTTTATAAGAGGTTCTTGGAACCAAAGAGTAAGAATGTTTGCTCTCTATAGACCTCTATAGACCTACAGAAGGTTGAACCTTCTGAGGTTCAACCATTGCTTGGGAAGAGAGCACAGGGAGAGAGGCTGGAAATGTGACTATTTTCCAAGTTTGGGGTTATGTATCTTCTACTAAATAGAGAAGAGGTCAAAGTTCAATGTTCACCTAGATGGCTCTGAACCAGGGGTAGCACAGAGTAACAAAATCCCAAAGGGTTTGTTACTGGATCCCACTTACACTTTTGGGGCTTATAAACAATTTGCTCCAGTTCCTCCAAGTTCTCTTTGACTGTCGCTATCACTGATACGTCAAGAGAAGCACACAATTTGCAGATATGATCCATGGCTTCATCTGTGTTTTTGGCATCCCCAACACCGACTGAGGCAGTCAGCCCAATGACCTGCAAAAGGAGCATTCCAAATCCTTAGATGTCTGAGAAATAGCATGATGTTTCCACAGTCCCCCAGGTAACTCTTTCCTCCTGAAGTAAGGTTTTTGTTTTTGTGTTTACTAACTTCAGATAAAGAGCAAGAACATTTTTTTTCTGACATCCTCTATGACATTGCTAAAAGAAAGGTCCCCATTAGGCAAGGCACTGAATAAATGCAGGAGGCAAAATTTATTAGCATAGAAATCATGACAGGAAACCCTTTCAAGGCAGGGCTTGTCTTCTCTTTACCGCTGTGTCCCTCACAGTGTGGACAACATACTGAAAAGGAAAAGGACTTAAACCAGACACACTTCCATTCCAATTTCAGCCATGTCATGCTGGCTATATGTCCTCGGACAAGTATTTTCAGTTCTCTGTAAAGTTGGGAAACAACAGCTATTTAAAATGGTAGATGTGTAAATTCAGTAAGATAACATTTGTAAAAAATGTGACTTAATGGTCACTTAATAAACATTCATTTCTTCTTCCAATAGCCACTCAATAATTATTAAATAATTGACTAATCAGCAAGTAATCTAGTTAACCACCAATTTTATTCTAAGAGAAAAAGCTGTAAGAAATATAATCGCTATGGAAGGGTACTTTCTTGTCTGTGGACACCATACTGAATTTCTTTTAACCTGCATTTCCCAAATGGGTATTGGGGCTGGAGAACTTCATATAAATGTGCAAAGCAATATCCCATAAATTCATGGTTTCCAACCCCATTTGAGCCCCCCAGGACAATCAAAGAATTCTTCAGTGTATTCTCAGTTCTCCCTCCTATTTCAAATCCTCTCTTCAAGATTCCTGCCCCACCCCTATATTGACTGGTTCTCGGCAGATGATCTACCTCTCCTACATTCAATAGAAAAGAGAGGTTATACACCAGGGATTCCCTTCCCTTCCCCTCCTGCCCTCATCTAAGAACTACTCTCAAATTGACTCTTCTCACCTCCTCTTCTCTGAGGATGCCAAAAAATGATGTCTGATCTTCCCTTCCATACTAATCCATCTACTTGCCTACTTATCCCACACCCTCTGGTCTCTCTGGGCATCTTTCTCCATTAGTCACTCCCTCTCCCCCATCCTGCCTCACCTAGTGCTATCCCCTACCTCACACTCTACACTCAGGTCACATTGAAGAGCTTCAAGATTCTTAAGCACAACAGACTCTTTCATAACTGTGTGCCTCTGGACACACACTATCTTCTTCCTGTGAGCTTTTGCCTAACCTAACTTCTATTAGGTTTCATCTTACTTTCATAGCACACTTAGGAGTGCTTTCATTATGTTCCAGCTGTGCCTTGTACCCATCTCCATAGCATGCTATCATGATAAACTGTGACATAATTCTTATATATCTGGCTTCCCATGAAACTTGAGCTGTTAAAGAGCAAGGACTAATGTCTTTTTACATTTGTAACCCCAGTGTCTAGCACAGTACATGGGGGCACATAATACATACTTGCTAAGTAAACAAATAAATGAATGAATCAAAAACAATGAGTAGTACAATACAGACTCAGAACCTGAGAAGGATATTCTCAATGTGGCCACGAGAGTAAGTAAATAGGATTTAGGAAGATTATGGCTCTTCTGAGGAATCTGATTTTGGAGATACCTGGGGTAGTGGGTCTAAAGAGCCTCCAAGTTTCTGATCTAGATAATTGAACATGATCATATTGTATGGGTGTTGTTTACTGGTGTTATGGCATTCATCAAAGATCATCAAAGTAAAGACAGACAGTGATGGAATAGTTCCATTTTTAAGGTTGTTCACAAGAATCTGTGGCGTTAAAAAGACGATGTCATTGTTCTCAACAATCTGTTCCACTGGGACATTTTCAGCTGTTTCTCCAGAAATGCCTGTAACTCTGTACCTGGGAAATGACAAAAATTCCCTATTACCAACCACAGTGTGAATAAGGAACCACAAAGATAAAACACTGTATCAAAATTAAGTTCTCCTTAAGTCCAAAAGGAAAAAAGCTGTATATAAGTCCTTAGCCCAGAGCCTGACAATAAGTGATCAATAAATGCAAGCTAGTTATAATTTATACTAGTATGTTAATTCTTTCAGGTCTCTAAGAGAGAAAAGAGTACTTAAAAGAGTAATATCAAATAAATTACAAAATCATTAAAGAAGTTAAATGTGTCATTTAAATATCAAATTTATCCCTTAAGTAATTTACTCACTGTGCAAGAGCAAACCTGGAGAGTTTAGGATTTCTGGTATATCTAACAAAAAAGACTTGAATCCATGAAGGAATAATATATAGATTATATAAAAGCTGAATCTATTATAAAATTTTTTAATCATGGCTTTTCAAAAACAAAAACAGAAAACACATCAATTACATGACACTGGAGAAAAAGAAGTCCGATCAACTGTTATACCTACCCAAGTTTTTCAAAATATTTTGAGAACACAGATTTCTGCTGTTCATACACAGGGATTTGATTAGCAAGGAAGACAACCTTCCCTTTTTGTCCTTGTGAAAATTTTTCAAGATGATGTTCACATATGAGAAGTGAAACAAAGGTTTTTCCACAACCTTTTAACATGTAAGGAAAAAAGAAAACATGTAACTAATATTGTCCTAGATATTTCTTCA